ATCGTGAACTCCCAAACGACGGCTTAGATTTAACTGGTCTTGGGCTTCACTGACTTGATGGAAGACTCATTTCTTCGACAGCACAAGCAATAGCTACGAGTCCGGGCTTGAGGTAACTGTTAACAGTAATTCCTCGATTTTGTAAGTATGCTTTGAGCTCCAGCAGCTTCATGGCTTTGAATTTCTCTTCTCGTAACATATTTTCCAATTTGACTATTGTTTCGTGACGAAAGCGAGCAAATTTATCTATTAAATGGCCGAAACATTTGCGTATTTTGAATAGCATTTGTATTACGCTCCGCCATGTTTGTCCGAGTTTCCGATTTCTCGAGCACGTGTTTCCAATTAACACAAAACGCCAAAGTGGTCCATTCAACATTAGGGGGGATGTTTGTAGTAATGGCATGCAAAACATATAAAACACACAGTTTTGTGACTCGTGTTTTATATTTTTCTGGTTTCATGTGTAACCCAAGAATTCTGTGGTGTTCATCCGGGATTTCAATTTGTCGGCTCCATTACCGCGCTCCCAAATTTCACCCTCGATGCCCCTCTAGTTTTATTTATAATCTCTATAGGTTAGACAACCAACTAATACACCATGGAAATTCTGCGCAATGACACATGCAATTACTTATATTAAAGAGGCCGTAGTCGGTCAGGTCAGGTCAGGTCAGGTCAGCTCATCGTTTTCGCGCCCATCGTGACAAAAAACTTGCCTTGCCATGTATATATACGGAGGAGAAAGTGCTTTATCCCTCCGCTTTGAGTGGTAAACTTAATAACCGAAGCCACCTAGCTAGGGAGTGGGAGTCAGTGGGACGGGGAAAACGTTTGAGCAATCAGGCCGCTCACCCTTAATTTAAAAAACATTCAAGTGAAGGACTTTCCAAAAAGGTTTTGAAAATTGCGGAATTCTTGCAAAAATACAATATATTTGCAAGAAATATGTGTTGTTTCGCTGTCGTCATGCAGTCGTTATAATGCAAATTTCAAATTTGACCAATCAGTGTTGTGTTCGCAATTCACGACAGTCCGCTACATATTTTGAGATCCGTGAGAATGACCACCCATGAATTAACGGTGAACCAGTAGCCATGAGCCGGCAATTACTGATGAACTTTAGACTTCGCTAGTGCGTTCCTTTCCCCCGGTGTAAATAGAGGAGCGGAATTAGTAGCCTCGCCCCGGGCTTACGCCCGGAACGGCGCTCCGCGCCGTTGGCAGGGGGAAAATCGTGTTAATTTGTCTTGACTACAATTTTGAGGTCATAACTACAATTTTGTTATTCCTAAACCAAACACCACTTTTTTGAAAAGCAGCCTAGAGTATAATGGAGCAGTGGTATGTCATTCAATACCAATAGAAATAAGGAAATCATACTCACTAAAAATTTTCAAAAATATATTGTAAATAGTAATTTATTATGTAATTTTTATTGTAAATAATCATGAAATACACACGGCACTAAGAGCATCTTCTGATGACAGGTTCCGTACCTAAACTAAAGTTTAACAACAACGTTTGTGAGTTCACAACTTCACAGCAATTACCAATTATCTGTATTCAAAGTGGAAGAGAAGAAAGATGGCCGCCGAAATTTGGTTATCTTTTCATGTCACGCAATCACGAAACCTAATCCAACCAGACACAGTACTAAAATGCGGTGCCCTGCAAAAAAAATTTCTGGCGTTTCGCCTACAAGTAAACTTATATAAAATAATACGCTAGATGGGGCCCCTAGATTCCTCCTGTTGGTTAATACATGAAGTTGTTTCTAGTGAGGGAAAAGTGAGCGCGCGAGGACCCACCATCGAATTTTTATCGAATTTCTAAAGCTTTTTTCATGTGACGTCTAATGTTACGCTTACATTTGTTTTGGACTTTGGCCACTGTCAGTTCTATATTTTTTATAAAGTTTTGGTTTCTTAGTGTGATAAATCTGTGTATATAGTCTATATAATGTGGTAAATGCACCTAGCAGATATGACTTGATATGAAATCTGATCTTAATTTACCTGTATGTCAATGAGACGCACATGTTTAATATCTGTCACCTCTGATTGCCCTTTAACCCTGGTCTTTGCTACCTCAATCTTTGCTACTTCAATATATATTGCTTCTTGTCCTTCTTTTCAGTTCCATTCACACCTCACTAGTCGCTGCGAGTAATCACTGTGCTTGATATAATTTGTGCTCTTTACTGTGGTTCTATTTCAGCCTAGTCCCTGGCCTTCCAAGCGCGGGCGAGTTACAGGCTGTCGTGACTTGCGGGCTGTCAGTTTCGGAAAATATCCGAACTGGGTCGCGCTCACTGAGCTATACTGGTCGCGCTCTCTGGGTCGCGCTGGAAGGGCAATTGCTAGATAGTATACTTCAAAATAAGATTTCCGTTTTTTTATTAATTTTTAAAATAATTAAAATAAGTTAGAGTTAGGTTAGGGTTTAGGTTAGGGTTAGGTTGGGGTTAGGGTGAGGGTTAGTACTAGGGTTAGGGTTTGCGTTAGGATAGTTTTTTCTACGTTATAAAAACGGAAACCTTATTTTGAAGTATACTATCTAGCGATCACCGCGCTGGAAGGCCTAGCAAAATTCGAATAATCAACATGGCGGTGTATTTTCGTGAATTGGATTAATCTTTACTATTGTATTAAAATGTAACGAAATGCTTTTAAAACACGTATTATATTTAAATTTTGTATTTTGTCTCGTTGATAAACCTTTCAGGACACCACTGGCACTGATAATTTGTTGGCTTTTCCACACAAGGACTGTGTTGACCGAAATGATTTGTTCAAAAATATAAATATTAACCAGCATTTCTCGACACAGCATTTAAAACCACACACTGGAAGTAATGGTAAGGTTAATGGAACAGAACATTTCACTTGCTAATGAAAGGACCGTGCGATGAATTTATTTTTAGAAAGTACATTGCAGTATCAATACAAATATATTTGTCTTTAATATTATTAATATTTATAATACCAAAGGTTTGACATATACCAGATTTAAGTTTTATTAGTGAAATATATAGTGCCCGACTATCAGTATCAAGCTAACTGAAAAGTCAAGTTGAGCATGATACTCATATGCCAATTAAATTTCATTTTATATGCCCAATATATTTTGTTGACAAGTAAAATTATCTGGCAATAAACAAAGTAAAATACCAGGATGAGAAAATGTATTGAGAAAATGAGAAAAGGTGTTTTGCCCAGAATAACTTACTTTATAATAATATGCCAGACAATTTTACTCGTCGTGGTAGGGTCTGCCTAAAACTTATGTAAGAATAAAACAATCTTATCAAAATCAATTGCAGTGGTTTTGTGTTAATTGGGGGAGGGGGGGGGGGTAGTGATAGGGGGCTTGATGACTTTATTCACTTGTGTTAGAGGCCTGACTAGAGAGAGTACCTTTTTTGTTTTTCAATATGACTTTGTGGTGTTCTGTCACTTTTTTACCAATATTATTGTTTCCTGTCATATGCTGATAAAATTAAGGCTTGCCTTTAAATTACAGATATTCATGCATTTTAATATAAGTATTACTATATGCACACATACTTATCATGCATTTCTTTGTTTACTTGCACAATAGCCATTCAATTGTCATTCAAGCCAATGAAGGTCAATTTCAATGACCTTCCTTGACCCACATATCCTGACCTCAATGTTTTAAAATACTACTTCCTTTCAAATCCATGATTTTGTATTCTCATATACTCTATTGCTAGTAAACTGAAAACAAATTTATTCCATATGTGATATGGGGCCATTCCCAAAATACATAATGCTTGTGGGGATAGAAGGGTGTTTGATCAGAAGCTGCAGAGTGTCACAAGGGGGGAGGGGGCATCACATGAGGGGAAAATTTATCCCTGTCTATAAAAAAACAAGACCTTGCTTGCAAATATGTTGCCCTTAGAAGACAAATCAATGTTTTCTATCAAAATATATTGCCTGAGTGGGAAAGAACCTGAATGGAAAGGCCGAGGTTAAGGCATTGAAATAGTGTCTTGTACATACAGTACATTATTTTTTTGCATAACTTTATTGGGGTAAATAAATGTCTTGTTTACAAATTAACGACACTAATCATCGGCATCCCCAGGGGTTGATCACCAGGAGGGGGGATTTGTTACTTTTTGTAAAAAAATAATAGGGCCATTTATACGGGACAAAATAAGACGCGACTTAAATAAGACGCGAGTTTGTCGTATAAACTGTACAAAATTCTTATGTAAGACGCGTCTTGGATAAGACGCGTCTTACATAAGAACAGGACTTTTAGCTGTTCTTATTTAAGTCGCGTCTTAAATAAGAAATTTTGGACAAAAATTCCGAAACTTGAAACAACGTAAAATTATTAGCCTTGCATATTAAAACAAAAACAACCGAAACAACATTATAGCTATAGAAAGTACAAATAAGAATAAATCCGTAGAGAACCATTTATGCGATAATTCCTCTTATATAAGACGTGTCTTATGTAAGACGCGACTTATTTTGTCCCGTATAAATGGCCCTAATGTCCCTCCATGTAGGGAAATTGTTCGCATTTTGGCCAGGGAGCATTTGTAATTTACCTGGGGGGGGGGGCAATGGTGATTTTGAGAGGGGTCACAATTTAGGGGACTATCAAAAATTACCTGAATATTAGGCAGGGAACCTTCAACAAAAACTTTTCCTTAGTTTTCATTTTTGTTGCCATGCAAAGTTGCAAACCTTTCATATTCTAAGGATTTATGACTGAAGTTGTTATTAATAGATATGGAAGTTCAATAGTCAAGAATATTTGACATTATAATGCATGTCAGAATTTATTACTCATATTGATAAGAAACCAATACTAATTAAAGGTCAATAGATTTTTTGAAGGGGGACACAAGGAGTCGACAATTCACCATCTATTGTTTACAATCAAATTGGGGGGGGGCAACAAATGTGATCAACAAAAGTGTAGGGGGGGGGCTCCAGAAAATTTAAATCTAAAAACTGTCATGGCCCTCCCCCTCCTGTAAGTAAATTATAAATGCCCCTATTAAACAGGCACAGTTTACCCCCAGGATAAACCAAAAGGATATCAACATTCAGATAATAGTGGTTATTTAATTGTTCACCTTTCTGCTATACAGTACGATTTTGTACTGTAATATGATTTTTGTCTTTAAACTTTACCCTGTACCCAAGGGCTTTGTCAATATTTTGTTCTGTCAACCTCATGGGAAGCAGAGGAAAGTGAATAAGTTATAAGTGCAAGGGGCATAATATAGATATTTACACTTTCCATTAATGGCATCTTTCCAACAACAAAAATATGAACAAAATATATATAATAAACATTTAACAATTTGAATACTAACTAGTGACTACAGTTCATACAATGAGACAGTCAACTTCTGTGAAAATATAAACAACCACGCGATATTGACCAAGTTACAAGTCCACATAATTTGATTCTTTCAATTGATTTTACACGAGCGACACTGGTCGAATAGCAGCTGATCCAATCACAGATCCAATGTAATAAATATATACGTGGAATATCATATTGCATGAGAATTCCTTTAGAAAATTCGACAATATATAATAATTATTATATTATTATATTTGAGGTAAAAATACCAAGTCCAAAATCACGAACAAATGTACACCAAACTGTTCAGTGTTGACTCCTTGGCTTAGAACTTGCAAATCACACCTTCCCAACATTACATAAGGCAATAGCACCTGTAATTTTCCATCAAAATCTTCTTTAATACAATTTTTACTGTAAAGTCTGTAAAATACTCACAAATTTATATTAAAAATTTAACAAAAAATTATCGAAGTAAACTAGAGCCCACTCCCAACGCGAAGGACAAATCAGGACAGTTTGCGAATTTTGCTAGGCCTTCTCCATTCTCGTACCCAGAGCCCTTCTTACGTGCGTTCGACCGAGCACGATGAGGGGCTCTGGCCAAATCCATATCAAACTGCCTTCTGATTGGCCACAACTAAATATATGGTTTATTGTATAAAATATGAATAAAAATCAAGCGCTCCATGAAGCGTTGGTTTCGTTTTGGAGAAAATTGGGAGAAAAGACATTATTAAAGTTGAAAGAACAGCAGTACGAAGCGGTTAGGAAGATTGTTGTTGATAATCGCCCACAAAAGCGGTAGAGGTCGCTAATTTTATTTATTTAAATCAATTAGTTGATTGAAATTAACTAGGTTGAGAAGTGATGTTCTCATAGCAAAAAGTCAGCATATTTATGGCAGATGCTCGACGTATTTCCAAATCAGTGATGTTAATCACTTTTGTGGGGTTTTCCTGGAGAAAAACTTTCAAAACGAAACAAACAAGAAAACCGAAGTGTTTATCCGCATTTGACGTTGAGCATGCGCAGTGTTTAACCGGATACCATGTTTTTATTGTATCCGGTTATGGATTTGGCCAGAGCCCCTCGTCGTGCTCGGTCGAACGCGCGTAAGAAGGGCTCTGGGTACGAGATTGGAGAATGG